TGGTTTGTGGTACCATACAGTAGACCTAGCAAAACAGGTCCAAACTCACGGCTTGACCGTACCTGGCCTGAACAGTATTTTTATGGGCAATGTTGAGAAGAAAAGATAAGACCAAATGGTCTTTTTCAAGCTTATGACGTTCAATGTTCCAAAGGAGTTTCCGCTAGGGCTGCAAACGAACCGAACAGTTCGCGAACGTTCGTTGTTTGTTCGATTACTGTTCGATAATGTTCGAGAACATTTGTTCGCGAACAGTTCGATATTCGTTCGATAATATGTTCGATCGAGTTCGAACAGGGGTTGTTCGTTCGATTATGTTCGCGAACACTTTACGTTCGATTGATCCATTCGTTCGCAAAAAATCGTTCGATTGTTCGTTCGTTTATGTTCGAAAAACATGTTATACATTATTATAATTTAATTTTTTTTTTCATTTTTATATTATGTTTGATTTAGTTTGGATGAATTTTTGTTAATGGTAATCAATAATAAAATATTATGATACTTTTGTTTTTCTTATATATATAATATGTTTGTATTTTTTTTTTTTCAAATGTCATTAATAATTAACTATATAAGTATATGACATTTTAATTAAAAAGTACTAAATTATTATGATATATAGTATGATAAATTTAATAACTTAATAGATTATATAATCACGTGATATATAATATAGTAAATCCAATAACATAATAGCTTCATATTTTTCTAAATGTAATCAATAATTAAATATTATAAGATAGCATTTCAATTAATAAATAATAAATATAGTATGATAAATTGATAAACATAACATATTGTATAATCAAGTGATGTATAGCATAACAAATTTAATAATATAATAGCTTAATTAAACCTAAATTAATCACATATTTGTATTGATCATTTATTACAATAAACTCTCATACCACTATGAATTTATAGGTGTTGATACAAAATATACATGTAGACAATAATGATTATATATATATATATATATAACAAATTAATCACACATATGTATTGATCATATATTACAATAGACTTTCATTCCACTATAAATTTATGGGTGTTGATACAAAATATATATGTAAACATTTAAAATATTTATGATAATTTATGTAATGATAATAAATATATGATAACCTATAATTTCGATAATTTCATAACATATTTAATAAATTTAACCTATGTTAATATATGTATGATAATAATTTTGTATATATATAATTACACATTATATATAACAAATTAATCACACATATGTATTGATCATATATTATAATAGACCCTCATTTCACTATGAATTTATGGGTGTTGATATAAAATATATATGTAAACATTTAAAACATTTACAATAATTTATGTAATGATAATAAATATATGATAATCTATAATTTTGGTAATTTCATAACATATTAAACATATTTAATTTATGATTAATATATATATGATAATAATTTTGTACATATTATATAGTGGCATGTTCAATCCTTGGAATCCTTTTGGTTGTGCTGTAATGTCTATGCAAAATGCAAATTCCTTTTGTTTGCGTCATGTTTGATATGGAACTAAATTTGTTTTGAACGATTTATTGTTCTGTTTAATTTATTTTGAAGTTTTATTATTTATGATGGTTATTTATTTTAATTTACTGAGTTTTTATTGATTTATTTAAAATATAAATATAGATAGAGAGTTGGTTTATTTTCAAATGTTGAATTAAATGGGTATGAATTATAAATTGTTGCATATTTGTTTTTTAGAGCATGAATTGGAAAGTTGGTGTATATTTTTTATTCGAACAGGTATTCGACCAAGTTATTCAAACAGGTATTTACAAGTTATCGAACAAGTTATTCGAACAGGTATTTACAAATTATCGAACGAGTTATTCGAACAGGTATTTATGAGTTAGTCGAACGAACACGAACGAAAACGAATGAGCTTTTTGTTAATCGAATGAACGCGAACACACATCCTGTGTTCGTTCGAACACGAACACGAACACGAACAATCGAACATGCTTATCGAACGATTTTCGAACGGGCTTGTTCGTTCATGTTTGGTTCGATTGCAGGTCTAGTTTCCGCTGCACCTTTAGTAAACCTTGGGCATGTTAAATTTTTCCCATCGTTTTAAAGACAGAAGTAGTGAAATTTACACAAAGCAGTCATCAATTTTAAGCCCTCTCTAAGATTTCTTGATTCCCAGGCAATCAAGTGTCGGAATTATGAGCAAAGGATACTAAAGGAGATAATTTAGTAAATTCAGTTGTTATTGAATTGAATTATTTTGAATTGTGAATACATCACTTATTTATACAAAAATTAAGTTATATAATAAAGAAATATAATATTGTAATAATATTTAAAATCTCCTAGAATAAGGAAATATAATATTGTTTCACAATTAAGGAAACATACTATTTACATTCCATTTTGCACTTCAACACTCCCCCTCAAGCTTGTGGTCATAAACCACAAACCTACATGATAGATGCAAACGTTGCCTGCATACGTGGTTGCCATGTTGATGGTTGGGAGTTGGTTCAACATTTGGAGTAGTTGATTGTTGCTTGAGTTTTGGTTGTTTGGAAAAATCTAACCGAGTACCTGTTTGAATTGTAGGGACAGAAATAAAGGCTAGATGAGTATTGTGCTAACCGAATATATGTATGAATTGCAAGGACAAAAAAGAGAGGTTAGCTGAGTGATCAACCTGGAAGCTCTAATACCCAAGGAGATAATTTAGTAAATTCAACTATTATTGAATTAAATTATTTTGACTTGTGAATACATCACTTATTTATACAAAAATTAAGTTATATAATAAGGAAACCTAATTTCATAATAATATTTAAAATCTCCTAGAAAAAGGAAACATAATATTGTTTCACAATTAAGGAAACATATTGCTTGCATTCCATTTTGCGCTTCAACATTAAGGTCTCTTCTTTTCCTCAAGTTTAGTTCGTTTCTCCTCGATTTCATATCCAAATATAATTTCCTTTTTGTTTGATTTGTTGTTGCATTGAATTTTGTTTATCATCGATCTGTTTGAATGAGTATGAAGACTTGATGAGAAAATTATACATAGGTTTCCTTGATGTTTACATGCATACTGGAAACATCTCGTGGAAAATAGGAAAAAACTACTTCATTAGTTTATATTGTTCATAATTCATTGTTGGACAAAGTAAACTGAGAAAAAAAAAAAATCAAAATTTCGTCTAAATTCATTGCTGAAAGTTTTATCACTTTACCAAGTTGATTAAACTTAAGCGGAATGGGTTAAACATGTTCATTTGTACATTTTGGGTTGGCTCATTCAACATCAACATAAGCAAAGCATCCAAGGCAAAATGTAGAGCACACAAAACATTTTACATGGTTTGGGAGCCAACCTACATCCATTGGACCTCGTTCAGTCGAAGCCTAATCCATAAACATTCATAGTTCAATTACAAAGCCAAAGTTAAGCATCAATTGTAAAACACTCCCTATTATAACAACACTTCAAACTTCACTTTTTGGTTGAACTAACTACCATAACTAGCTTTTCATCAGGATACCACTTGGAAAGCCTTGAGCTCCACTCAAGCTTCAACACCGAAGATGCACTTCAGCTCCAATAGCTGAAATCTCATTAAGCATCATCATCATCATTAAAGAAACCATGTTTAAATAACACTCAAACAAGGGTTAACAAGGTATTTGTAAGTCTACCAAAGCATAATGGAACCTAACCAAAATATGAAATAAACCTCTAAGAATTTGCAAGGAATAACAGATGATATTTATGTTCGAAGAATAATGCAAGGTTGAGGACGAATATATATGAAAACTTGCTCAACAATGCAAAGGGACAGCCACCCAACAAGCTCTTCTCATGTTTAGCCATTTTGGGAAAGTTTTCACCAAACTTTCTTAGGACCACTATAAAGCCAAACGAATTTTCTAGTACATCAAATGAGCTAATTACATGTGTACATGGACCACTTACACATCTCTTAGATAAGAATAAAATCCTAACATCAAATAGAGACATAACATGTGTAAAAGAAATCTGGCTGAACGAGTGTCATCACACGGATAGTGAGGGTCATAACATTAGAATACCATAAAGCGATTGTGCATAAACAGAGTGATGCTACAAAATCAAAAATCAATGTTACCACACAAAGTTCATAATATGACAAAAATACTTATAGTTGCTTTGAAAAGTTACAAAATATTGTTTTCAGAAGTTTCTCAACACGAGAAAAATTAATCCCAACGTAAGAAACATAGTCGAAATTTAAATTAAATCAAGGCACCCACCTGAAAAAATGATTATTTCAAAGAGTAAGGCTCACCCTATCCCCCTTAGCTAGGAGTTATATTTTCAACCTTTCTTTTAAATCCTTTTCCTTGTTCTGTCGAGGTTTATAGAAAAATAAAAAGAGAAAATGACTATAAAAAATGAATGTATGTGTTTTGTGCATGTTAAGGGAGATCTTAACAGCACTAGTGACGTTGTTATTGATATGTATGAAAGAATTCTTGGTCAGTTATTTCCAATTGAAAGAAATTCTCACTCTGAACTTGACAGATGATTAACGCCTCTAGTTTCTACAATAGTATCGACTGAAAGCTAGAGAGATGGTATGGTTTACATATTTGCAAATTTAGATTCCAGCAATGAATGCAATGATCAGTGAATTTTATTTTCTTTTTCTTGTATAAGGGAGCTAACTGCACTATTGTAAAACTATAATTTTTATATATGTTCTTAATGCAATGTCCTTAACAATGGGGAATAATTTACTTACAATACTTGGTAGACATTTATTAAAAAAAAAACATTTAATAAATTATAAATTCATAAAAAGATGGATATAAATTCCTCGCTCATTTTCAAATAATCACTTGTTCTACTGATATATATGACATTCCCTTCCATTCTAAATTGCTGCTACATATATATAGATCTTTTGACAAATAAATTAATAAGAAAAGGAACTGGTTATAAAATTTTCAACGAGCTATCACATTTGAAAGGGTTACCTCATTAATAGAAGAACCTTTTCCAGATGTTGGTGAAGCCTGATCGGATTTTCCCACAAACCGGCCAACAGAAAATGCAGGTTGGGCCGGTTTAGGTAGCGTTATATTATCACTTACCAACATAACAACTATGGATGACATTATAGGTCTATCTAGTGGATCTTCTTGAACGCATAATAATCCGACATGGATATGTTTCAAAAATTCAATTGGAACACATGACTGCACCATTTCAGGGTCCATTAGCTCTAAAGCATGTCCTTCACGCCATAACTTCCATACCTAAAAAATCATACAAGCAATTAATAATTAATTGACTAAATTGGTGTATCAGTCATTAGAAGTATATAATTCTTAAAAGGCAGACATAGAGCTGTTACATACATAACTAAGAAGGCTTTCATCATGTTCTGAAAGGTGAAATCTAGTATTCTTTCTCCCACTTATAATCTCCAATAGAAGAACTCCGAAACTATAAACATCTGATTTAACTGAAAATATTCCGTCCATTGCATACTCTGGAGCCATGTATCCACTATTAAATATTCAAGAAAAAAAAAAGGAAAGAGAGAGAGAGAGATTAATTAAGTACTAAACCATGACATCTATCAATATGTATCTTAGAAATTGCAAATTTCTAAGAAGCAAAGTAACAGAAAACATGATTAGCCTAGTTCATAATGTAACATTTTCAGGTGATAAGGTTACACAAGTCATCTATCTTACAGACATCTGTATTTCAAAAAAAAAAAAAAAAAGGAGTATGGATGTTGTTAGGTGATGTTAGTAAGTAGTTTATGACACCCAAAAAAATTAAAACACAAACAAATTTAGTCAAACTTTCTTATCTCAAAAACAGTGAATTTTTTAGTATTAATGTCTACCTACGCCATCTAAAGAGAGTCCATATTTTTTACAAAATGCAAATGTTTTCACCTAAAAGTTTTTATGAGGTTTCACATACAAAGCAATTTTTTTTCAAAAACTATTTTGATCACTAAGGAATGACTTGTAAGTTATGCATATTTATATACTTACTATGTTCCAACAATTCTATTGGTATTAGCTTCATTTTGATTTCCACCAAATATTCTCGCCATTCCGAAGTCTGATATCTTTGGATTCATATCATGATCTAACAAAATATTACTAGTCTTGACATCACGATGAATAATTTTGAGTCGAGAATCCTCATGCAAATATAAAAGGCCCCGTGCAATTCCATTAATGATGCTCATGCGTCTTTTCCAGTCTAGTTGTATATCACTTGCTGAATCTGATAATGAAATTATCAAAATTAACTTAACCAAGATTACATATTTTTCCTTGCTTTCAGAGTAAGCAAAGGAAGTAAAGAAATATATATATAGAGAAAAAATAAAAATAAAAATTGCATTTAGGGCTTTTAAGAGGCAAACCAAATAGGTGCACATTAAGGCTCTTGTTGGGCATGTACTCATAGATGAGCAGAGATTCTTTTTCCTCTAAGCAGCATCCCATGAGTCTCACAAGATTTTTATGTTGTAATTTGGCAATCAAGGTAACTTCACTCTTGAACTCTTGTAGTCCTTGCCCAGATGTTCTTGAAAGCCGCTTTACTGCAATTTCCTTACCATCTGCTAGAACTCCCTGAAAACAAATCTCCATTGTTACCATCAAACAAAAACATATAGAGCCTATTTAAGGAAAATAAGTACTTATCCGTTATACTTCTTTAGTTTATATTGATAGTAATTTGAAATTATATGTTATGATGCACATAATTCATATGATAAGCACAAATCTGTGAAATATCACTTGAGATACAAAAGTCGTATATAAACTCGAGATATTAAACATATAATTATTAAAAGTACACGAAGTTTGAATTCTAGCTCTATACATCACAACGTGTGGTTACTGATATTATAGAAAATTAACATTATTTATTATATCCACCTATGAGTAATGTAATATCAAAATTTATATTATAACAACAGTATCAGTTGTAATCCGAAGTCATGAACCAAAATCCACAGACAGAATTAGCTCTCTTATTATATTAAGTAATCAATATGATACAAAATTAGAAGCTTAATATTAAGATTTACCATATAATTACCTTGTAAACAGCGCCGAACCCACCTTCTCCGAGCTTGTTTTCATAAGAGAAATGTCTTGTAGCCTCGAGTATTTGACCTAAAGGGAAAATAGGGAAATCTTGAGATTCCACCTCATGCTTCGCTCGTAAAATATTTTGCTCATCTCCTGAGCGAAGCACTTGAAGTGCTCGCCTTTTTGCTTTCTCCTCTGCAAAGACATACTGATCAATCAATTTCCATTCAATAAAAGAAACAGGTAACTAAAATAATTCTTGTTATGGACGATTAAAATAAACTATGATAATACAAAATTTTGTATATAAACTAATGTGATATAATAGAGTGAAAGTGTATAAAAATTAAAAATTTACCTAATATATAAAAAGGAATATGTGACAATAAAAGAATAATGACAATGGAAATTCATGCATAAAAGTTTTATATATAAATGTATGTAATTATTATTACTCAGACCAGAAAAGCCACTACCTTTATATCTTCTCCATATACGCAGCAGGAAATGACCAGAGAGCTTGAGTACCAGAATTGCTGATATAATTGTCCCCATTGCAAACCATACTGCTTGTCTTCTTTTTCCTCCTATGTCGGGGCAAATATTTTCAACTTATTATGAAATAATCTACTCTTTTTCATAATCTGTTTTATCGAAGGATTTTAAAAGTAGGTATTTATAGCTTTTAGATTTTAAAATCAACTTTTAGAAGATCTAATTTTTTATATTAATAATATAAAAAAATTTAAAGACAGACATATGAATTAAATTAAAAACTTTACGATTATAAGAAAAACAAAATCTTGGCTGGCGGTATTGCCAACCAATAGTCGACTGCGGTTGCTGACCAATAGCCAGCCGCAGTTTCCAAAGGCGTGTCCGGCAACACCACAAGCACCATTAAGTTCTTCGTCTAGCGATCTTTGTCGTGATGATGACATTCTAGTCGATGGCAGGATGTTTGGTTGTAAGAGGCTAACAAAGCTTTGGCTAAACTTTGGTGACATCACGACTGTGTAGATCACCAAATGACGAAGTTGATGGTGTCGACAATGTCACCAATCGTGCCTCCTACTATTGCCTAGCAACACTGCTGGCCAATTTTTTTATTATTTAAAATTTTAATTTAGAAAAAAAAAATATTATTAGTACATTATAAAAATCAAAAGAATTTATTAGAATAAAAACTTATTATATTAAATAAAAAAAACCCTTTTTGGTCATTTTATACATACCAAATTCATTTTCCTAAAAGCAAAAGTAAATTTAAAATTAATAAAAAAAAAACAGCACATAGAATATTTCTAAAGTTGATTATATTAAAAGCCGGTTCATAAGTGATTAAGAGATAAACTACAACAATCTCAAACTAAACATCTTGTCAGAACATACAACCAGCGGCGGAGGGACAAATTTTCAGAAAACGATATAATTTATAATTTTCAGCGTAATGATAAAAATTAAAACTTTAATCATTATTAATAAAAAAAAATTATTCAATATAATTACAATTGTTTTCGACACGTTTTAAAGTTTTTGAAAACCATTCTTATCAATACTGTTACATAAATCAAATCAAACAAATGATACTAACCAAAAAAAAAAAAAAAAAAAAAACCATAAAAATCCTAATTTCCTAAAGGTAAACTAAATTAAAAACCATTTAGAATAGAATTCCTAGGATAATAAGGAATTAAAAACCATAATTTATTAAGTTTAGAAAAAAAAATATTTGCATCACAATTTTTTTTACAAGTAATGACTTCAATTAAATTTCTGTAACATGGGTCTTATTTATTTATAATCTAAGTACGAAAGGTTGACTTATTCGGAACCCTTGGATGTATTATTACCTTAATTTTGACAATGATTTGGATTTTGAAAAATACCAACTTTGAAATTTTTTATATTAAATATAAAATTCATGACATAATCAGAATAAATCATTGGTGTCCATCACTAATTAAGAGAAATCGAATTTGGTAATAAGCCCTACCGTTAATGAGAAGAAATATTATCCTTTATTATTTTATACAAAAAATTTATTAGAAAAATAAAATATGGCATAATACTTTACCTTGAAACCCTGTCTCAGAACCAGAAGCTGGCGGAAATAGACTCACAGGTGGAGGTTCCAGTTGCGGCGCTGGTTCTAATGTCGAAATAAAGGATTCATTAAAAAATGGATACAACTCATACCGGGTACTACAGCTGGGAGTCAAGACTCTTCCTCCTTTCTTCCCCTTACAACACAATGGTAACTCAGCATTAGATGCTCGAAGACATGTAAAACAATCTCTACTTGACAGGTCCGGCGTACACTGCACAAAACCATACAACGTTTCATTAACTCTAAAGTCCTCCTTCGCTCCCACGAACTTATCAGGTGAATGAGCAGCTTTGCTCGCAGCTGCGTTCATCAAACTGAACACTGAATCATCAAACTTGTCAGGTTCCGTGACATTTTCGGTGTTTGGAATCCAAATACTGGGATTTTGAGCCACGCTAGAGAAGAAAGACTGGTTTGAGTAACGTAAATGGCACTCGTCGTACCATATTAAAGCTCTTTTTTGAGTAGTGCAAATTCTGGTTGCATTTCTTATTGCATGAGTAACACAGTCCCGGCAAGCGGTGGAGTTGAGATCGGGACGGCAAAGAAAGAGGCCGAAGACCTCGTCAGGAGCCTGGCCTGCGGTGGCGTTGCGGAAAATGACTTGGGAGAGTCCATTGGAGATGTTGAAAGTGGCGTTGGAAGAAAGAGAAGAGAAGAGAAGCTTGAGGTTGNCCTGTGACGACAAGAAGCGCTTGCATTGAGTGTTTGAATTTGATAGACCTTAATGTACTGAGGACAAAGTATAAGGGGTTTGAAAAGTTTCCCATTTCTAATAAAGATGAATTTATTTTCTTTTAGGGATAACGACTTACACATACGCAAGGTTTACCGAAACGACAAGTTGGTACCCAAAAGGTTTTGAAACGACAAATAGGTACCTTCCGTCATGTTTTGTTAGTGATTTTCGTTTGATAATAGTGAAAAGACTAGAATGCCCTTGAAAGTTTGATATTTTAGTTTTTTATAAATTTAAAAATTTCTAAAAAACCCCCTAGTTTTACTAATTTAACTAAATACCCCAATATATAAAAATTTTGTAAAATAACAAAAACATCCCTGCCACTCGCCACCCGCAGTGTCAGATTCTGGCCACCACCGCCAGAATCTGGTCGGAAATTGCGTTACGACATAGACCCGTCAGATCTATGTCGTAACACGTCGATCTGGCCGTCGACGTCGCAGATGGAGTTTTGTAGCCTCGACGGCCAGATCGACACGGTACGACACAGATCCGACGGGTCTGTGTCGTAACACAATTTTTCGGCTAGATTCCGGCTATGGTAGCCGGAATCTGGCACTGCGGGTGGTGGGGGTGTTTTTGTTATTTAACAAACTTTTTATATATGGGGATGTTTAGTTAAATTAGGAAACCTATGGGGTTTTTTAGAAATTTATAAATTTATAAAAAACTAAAATATCAAACTTTCAAGGACATTTTAGTCTTTTCACTATTAATAAACAGAAATTACTAACAGCACATGACGGAAGGTACCTGTTTATCGTTTCCAAACCTTTTAGGTATCAATTTGTCGTTATAGCAAACCTTGGGTATGCGCAAATCGTTCGGCCTTTTCTTTTATTAAACTTTCTTTATTACTTTTGCTAATAAAAATGACTCACCATTTTCAATATCAATCCATTTATAGTACAATCACTATTGTTCTTTCATCTTGATTTTAAAACCGATGTAAGCTTTCTCACCATGAAAAAGTAAGAATTGTTGAAAGACAAATATCTATAAAATCTCTTACTAATGGCAATCACAAATTTCAGGATCATGATTTGTAGCTCCCTATGTTCCTTTCAGTTTTGTGGTTATTATGTTTAATGGTTCAATTATCACTTTTCAATGAGACATATGCAGCATGATTAAAGCCCACCATGATTGGCCCAAGGTTTTCAAGTTTGAAAAGGTCCTTTAAACCTGTGCAATTATTGTATTGGATCATTTAGGACATTATTAACGTGGCATGTTCCTTGTTATGACCTTTATTTTTAGAAGTTTATAGTTCAACATTATAAGTTTACGTATTGATATTATGTACAAGTTTATTGTTGTTATTACTATTATTATTATTCTATCAATACAAAGAGAAATGTTCCCACGATTTTATAATTTAACAATCCTTGTTTAAAGGGAGAAAATAAAAAAGTCAACAGAATTCAATTAAAGTACATTGAATGGTAGTAGCAGAAGACAATTTTTAAAACCCTCAAAAACTCAAGTATAGTTTCAAATAGTGATTCCCACAAACACAAACACAATGAGAGCTTCTCTGCAACACTGGTGCTCTTCTTTTTGATTCCCACTTCACGCCCTTCCTTTATTTCATCACTTTCATTTTTCCTCTTGCACGTTGTTCTTACTTTCTCCAACACCAATCAATTGTTGCAGAAAGCTTTTTGTTTTTTTGAGTGTAATCTCCAACTACCCAACTCAGATCTCTAAGCAGAAATGGTGGCAGAACCTTGGATACTCAAGATGGGAAACCAAGTAAGTAGCAATCTTAAACACGCTCTCCTTCTTGAACCTTCTTCCAAGAAAAAAAAGAGCCCAAAAAGCCATGAAGCTAAACACTTCATTGGGATTCTTTCTTTTGAAGTGGCTAATGTCATGTCAAAGACTATTCATTTACATAAATCTTTAACAGATTCAGAGATCTCCAAGCTGAAAGCTGAGATCTTGAACTCTGAGGGGATTAAGTACTTGGTTTCAACTGATCAAAATCATCTTCTTCAGCTTGCTTTAGCTGAGAAGCTGGATGACTTGAACCGGGTTGCTAGTGTTGTGTCCAGGTTAGGGAAGAAATGTTGTGAACCAGCTTTACAAGGATTTGAGCATGTTTATAATGATGTTATGACTGGAGTTATTGATGTTAAAGAATTGGGGTTTTTGGTTAAAGATATGGAGAGTATGGTGAGGAAAATGGAGAGGTTTGTGAATGCAACTGCCAATCTGTATAGTGAATTGGAGGTTTTGAATGAGTTGGAACAAACGTCTAAGAAGTTTCAACAGAATCAGCATGAAGAAAGTCGTAGAGCGTTTGAGCAGAAATTGATTTGGCAGAAGCAGGATGTGAGGCATCTTAAGGAAATTTCGCTTTGGAATCAGACTTGTGATAAGGTTGTTGAGTTGTTAGCTCGGACTGTTTGTACAATTTATGCTAGGATTTGTGTTGTTTTTGGGGAGACTGCTTTAGAGAGGGACATTCTTGGGTTGAGTGAGGAACATTCTGTTGTGGTGAAGGATGAATGCAGACAGGTTTCGGGTCACGTCCAAGTGGTTTCAGGGCCATTGAAACGGGGTCTCAGCAGGCGTAGTAGTAATGGGTATCATTCAGGGTTAATTGAGAAAGGTGGACTGGAAAAAAGGGAGATTAGTTTGAAGTCTCGGATTGACTCAAAGAGAGGTGAAGTAGCATTTTGTCGAGTGAATGACTTTAACGTTCCGTGTGGGGCTAGCCCTGGAAGGCTTTTTATGGAGTGTCTTAGTTTAAGCAGTTCAGTTTCGAAGTTTGATGATGATGGGATTGATTGTGAGGAACGAAGTAGTCAAATTTCAGGCTGTTGCAGTGTTGGTAATGGCAGTTTAAAGAGAGAGCCAATTCATTCTGGTTCTTTTGTCCGGAGTCAAATCAGTGTTCCTTTCAGCGTAGATCAGAGACAGTCTATGTGTGGCGTGACAAACGGTGCTCATTTTGCCCCCAAAAACAGATTGACCGCATATGCTTCTCCCTCTACTGTGGGTGGTTCTGCTCTTGCCTTGCATTATGCAAATGTCATAATTGTCATAGAGAAGCTGCTTCGTTACCCTCATTTAGTTGGCGAGGAAGCTAGGGATGATTTATATCAGATGTTGCCTGCAAGCTTAAGAATGTCTCTCAAGACTAATCTCAAGTCTTACATCAAAAATTTGGCAATATATGATGCTCCACTTGCCCATGATTGGAAAGAGACCCTTGATGGGATACTGAAGTGGCTTGCCCCACTGGCTCATAATATGATCAGGTGGCAAAGTGAACGAAATTTCGAGCAACAGCAAATTGTGACGCGGACAAATGTTCTGCTGCTGCATACACTATATTTTGCTGACAGGAAAAAGACAGAAGCAGCCATCTGTGAGCTCCTTGTTGGCTTGAATTACATATGTCGCTACGAACAACAGCAAAATGCCTTATTAGACTGTGCCAGTAGTTTTGATTTTGAGGACTGCATGGAGTGGCAATTACAGTATGGCGCTTCTTATTTGAATTGATTACATTGTTGGATGTGTATACCTTAAAGAGTCATGTAGAGCATCTTCCTCCACTCCTGATACTTGTATGAAGACACAGATGATAATTTAACAAAATGTGAATATCTGAGCTTTGCACACACTAGAATTTATATTATTGAAGACCGGAGTTGAGTGATGTAATTTATTGCAAGGTACGAGAAGTTTTGACTTCTGAAGTATATAATTCCAGTTATATATGGAAAAGAAGTGTAATTCTTCTCTGTAGAATGTGTTTATATTTCTGTTTATAATTGTTTTTTCTTCTGGAAAAATATGTGTTTTCTTTTTCTACATTTAATTCTTCTCTGTGGAAACACATTGATCCTCTGCTGGTGATTGGTTCTTCTTGATTGACTGCCTTATACAAAACCGATGTTGTAGATAAGTATTATACTGTACCAAACTGATGAATGCTGTGGCTAATATAGACTTAATTTTGTCTAGTGGTTGATTATGAGTTCTGCACTGAATTTTTTAAGTAGTGGCAATGGAAATTATCCAGATTTAAGTTTGAACAGAGAAATTTCCTATTTAGTTCAAACTTGATAGTTATTCTGTACTTTATGGGACATTATGGAACGATAATAGCCTCACTGATCCGGAGAAAAGACGCAAATTAAATTCCCAACTTCATTTTATGAACAGAGAAATTACTCTTCATCTTTCTGGGCATGTGTGATGTGAATGAGGCTGATATCAAACCATGTGTCTTTTTGGTTGAACTTCATTTCGACTGCATCTCTTAGTAGTAATTTTAATATCATTATAACTAATCGTATGAACATTTTAGAAAACATCTTGTGGTTCTGTCCATCCAAAACTTGAAGGAGGGTTCTTATTCTTGTGTGCTTGAATATGCAGTAAATCTTGATAATCTTCATTGGCGATCACTACCTGCTCAAGGGACATTATTCTGGTGGCCATCACAGTTGCCTATTTCTGCTATGGTATGAATGTTGTATCTTGAACTAACAAGGGTGTCACTAGATCCAATCCAGACATGTTAGATGCAGTTAACCATGTCCATTGTAGCCGAATAAATACTTTCAATTACTCACTAGAACAGAATTATTGAATGTAGTAAATTAGTCTGATTCTTGAAGGTTACAAAAATTATTGCAATTTGGTTTGTGTCTCGAGGTGTGAATAAAGTAGTGACAACAATATCTTAATCATGTAGATGAAATTTAAGTCTTCATCATTCAGAACTTTAGAATCACATGCACTCTTTTTTGACCCTTACATGAGCTTTTCATTTCTGTATACAGCTGTTAGTGAGCCCCAGAAAAATTCAGAAGTCCTGACATCTGTGTACCTATGCCATTTTTTACAGGCACTGGCACATATTGTTTGGGATTTCATGATCGAACATTAGAACTGATGTTTGTATTTGTATGGTTTCTTTTTCCAAACCTTCTTTTTATTGTTTTGGCTCATGTTTAAGTGTGTATTGTTGGAGGCAAATACATCTTTGGAGAACTATAAGTATAAAACAATAGACTTTACGAATCACATAATTCATGTAACTTTATTGGAGATGCAAAACTGAGATTTAAAGATACATAGCATTCTTCAAAACTCAAATCTAACCATTAATATAGAAAAATTCCCATGGACAGGAACGAGGGTATAAGGGAGAGGAGAGAAGCTGAAAACTAATTGCTCACTACCTAATGGAAATCAACCCAGTAAGTGCCCAAGTTTAAACATTAACCATCTATATTTCAATTGATATGCAATGAAAAGTCCTTTTCTCTTGGTTTAGCAGATGAAATAGGTTGATGATATGAAGTGAAATACACTAAAATATGCAATGGAGTTCACTAAGAATTGCAGGAAGATAATGGTTTGAGATGCGTAATTATGTTTGTACAGAAAAAATTGAAATATAATTGATGGCAGTGGGACTAGGTGATGGTGAAGGTTGATGTGAAATAGCTCCTTGGAAGACTAAAAATGAAGGAAACAGCAAGAGAAGCAGGTGCGTATCACGTGGCATTCAACACTCTGACAGGTGGTAGAAGAGGGTATTGAGTGAACGTATACGGTGTACTAATTATTATTCGTCCTTCTCTCACTACTTTCCTCATTCATCAACCACATGTTTCTAAAGCCTTATTGCCATTCTATCGCATATACAACTACTAAATTTTGACCAAATACTATCCTTTTAAAAAAGTGCTTTCACTTTTGTACAACTATTAATCTATTGTACTATATACTATAAAGTAGACACAAAAACACTTTACATTAATCCACTATCAATAATGATTTATATTTAATTTTTCCATCTAAACTTTCTTGAATCAATTTCATATATCCTGTGTGAACGTTTAATTTAAAGCACACCCAAACTTTTAAAAAACCTTGATTAGGAGACGAGAGTTTTGGTCATTTGTATAGCACAAGGACACCTTCATCACCCAAAGACACTTTTTCAGAACAAAACTGTGTAGGTCTCAAGGCTTAAAACGAACAATACTTCCAGGAATTTACCTATCATTCAGTATACATCAACTGAGTGATTTTTTATGTTTCCAGAAAAATTAAATATGCTTCAATTAAACAATGATACAAGGGTATACAAAATTAATCCAAACTTAACATTGGAGTCATAAGTGCCTGGTGGGGTTAAAAAAACCAACTTCAGGATCCTGCAACTAAATACATTCCAATTGCTTTCTAATTATCCCCCTTAAACATACTCAAGTCTCAACCTTCTCTACAGTTGCTGTACATAGAAAAGATTGAGGTACACCACAAAACTTGTGTAATAATGGGCTAAAAAGTTTGGGCCATATGGGCCACCGACGTTTTCTTCACTCTAGTCGATCTCCTGGCCGTTAAGCAACAATTTAAACCTGAGTGCTAACTGCTAGGCACCGACTCCATGACTTAACTCCGAATCAAATCTCAGTCTCGGCTCCCTATTTTATTCTGTGAGAACTGCTTGTGATCTCTTTTTCCGCCAAACAAACATGTGAAATTCAAATATTTCAATAGTACAATTTACATTTGCCTTCCTATTTCTTGCATTTTCTCGGCATCCAAACGGACCTTATTTGAAATTTGTTGTTGACCAATCTATTACATTTTGTAACAAGTCGCGGAATCACAGAAGCAGAGAAGCTGAAGCTCTGCTGATAACAAATCATGAGTTATAGAAGGTTCGTTAACAGTGACTCTCCATACATCTGTTTTTCATTTCAGTTCTATTCTATAGAATCAATTCACTTGATTATTCATTTTGTTAAATCTATTTTTTATATTTTCTATCTCGATTGGTTCATATTTACATTTATATCTGTTTTATTCGTTACGAAGATACGTTTGATTGGTTTCTAGGGTTTTTGAGCTCTAAAAACAATAGATTAACAATTCAGAAGTCATGTTTAGTTGTGCTAGTTTAATACATTGCATTTAATGATTAATCGTAAATCTCTTTACAATTTTATGAATACCTAAATTTTTTATTCATAATATGATGATGTTAATTTCCGTGATGCTTGAACCGGCGATGCATAGTCGAAGTATTGAGATTAATAGGTTAAAAAATCTATCCATATCTTCACTTTTGACTTGTTATGTTAGAATACGCCTCTACAGATATCCTTTCATTTCTGAATTTTCAATTTTTTAGTTATACATTCTCTGGTTTTCCGTTTTGTGTCCTAAAAAATTGGAAACGGAACTGACATTACACATTTTTAAGACCCAAAGTAAATAAATAAATAAATGGGAATAAATAAAATTTAAAGTTAAAATAATAGTGAACTGCCTTAATATTAAGTGTATGTTCTTGTTTAGTTTTCTTTACAAAAGAAGTCCTTCACAGTGTTTATACTTGTCCCTCATAAAGCCACACTGAAGAGCAAGTCTTTAATTTTCTGATCTTCATTTTACTAGCCTATGGCCCTTCCGTGTCACACTTGTTGAAGTACTTTAAATTTCAAAAATTGCCAAAACTTGAAAATTTTCCTTGATTATTGATGCAGCACTGATCTATCTTTGAGAATTTTGTTTCCTCATATTTCTTCCACATAAAAAGTTAAGAATATCCATGAATGTGTGGCTGTTTTCACCCTTGATATCTAGTCCTTACTGCAGACTTTCCTTTGTATATAAATGAAGCTGACAATAGTCTCCTTTATTACTTGTTTTCTTTCATTTTCAAATGGATATGATAACTGCTGTTTCTGATAATATATTTGTATGCAAAAGATTTTTACATTATTTAGTGCTCAAAAGAGGTTTGGTTTAATCTTTAGATGCTGTCTTGAACGACATTAGAACAAGTTGTTCAGGGTGGGCTGGGGTTGAGATGGGTATTAGGCTCATAAGAAGATTTTCTTGCTCAATTTTTTTCTTTTCATTCTGCAAAAAATTGCTTAAATCTCTGTGATCTTTGGATAATTTTCATTATATGCATGATGTTTTTTATGTAGATATTGAAATTGTATCATGACCACTTTTATGCAGAGAACACCGTGCTTGCAGAGCATCTCTCTTTGATGACTATGATGGCCTTGAGGAAGGTGGCCTTAAGGCCTCCTCCTCATACTCCCATGAAGTTAATGAGCATGACAACGACAAAGCACTTGACAGTTTGAAAGAAAGAGTTGTTTTTCTGAAGAGAGTAAGTTTGAATCAATAAGATCATTTTCTTTCATATTCAATTATATACACGAACTTGTCTCATGAAATGTCTATCTAAACAGTTTCCACAGGCACTGAAGTTGTTCAGTAATTGTATCTTACAGAATCAACTCCTTGAAAGTTGAAAGTTGTCTACAGCCTATGTATATTTGTGCACACTTTCCCATGAATGATATAGGAAGTACTTGCACTGCAGGAATTAAATTGGTGATTTGTTGGAACATTTGATTCATGAAAAATGTGCATGCTCCTATTGGGAAAGCCAAAAGAGAGAACAATGAAGGGAAAACATAGTCTTATGGCTTAAAGATAAATTTTCTTATACTAAGTTTCTTAATGTGTTTTTTTCTCATTTTCAGTTAACAGGTGATGTACATGAGGAGGTGGAGAGTCATAATCGTTTGCTTGACCAAATGGTATTGTACAGCTAATTCAGATTCAAACATCAATTTCTATGGTGAAAACTGTTTTGCTTTGTTTTGAGTGGACCGTATTGAAAATTCAGGGCAACAGCATGGATGCATCGAGGGGTATAATGTCAGGAACCATGGATCGGTTTAAGATGGTATTGGAATTAAATCTACTCTACTATTTTTAATATGCTTTGCTGTTCTTCATAGGGTGAGACTATTTTCGTATAAGCAATTAACTTAAAATGTTGACATCAAGTTTATGAAAATTTCTATTGTAATTCAACAGTTTTTAAGAGAAGAGTGAAGGTAGTTATTCTTTATACCAAATCTCTTATTCATTAACTTTTAAACCATGGGACTGCAATGGATAGATGACTATGATTTGGTGTCACAAATTAAAGTTGAAGTATCCCAATTCTTCTTAATAGATGTTTGTATCTGTTTTATTATTGTACTTGTTTGGAAAGTGGCTGATTATAATTTGTTGTTGTTATGTAGGTGTTTGAGAAGAAATCCAACCGGAGAATATGTACACTTGTGGCATCTTTTGTTGTTGCCTTCTTAGTTATATACTATCTCATTAGGCAAGTGATCCAGTCATGGGTAGTTACTTTCATTGAATTTGTGTTTGACTATTGAACATTTCCTTGCGCTCACTGTATATATCTAATTTGATATGGTTAGTTCTCTAAAACGGATTAATACCTTCTGAAAATTCATTAGGGTAAGAATTTTTTGAATGTCTTAACTGATCTATAGGAATGAGATATGTTCTTGTTATGTGTAGTCTGTTGATTTGACGCTGATTAGCTCTTTTCTTTTCAGGGTTCTCATGCATGGTTGAAGCAGAAATATAAAAAGCTTGGTTGCTGAAATCTGACGTTAGGTGATGGGAAGTTCCACCGAGTGCAATCATGTGATTTGGATGTGTCCTAGACCTTTTTTCTTTTAATGAGAATGTGGTGTAAATCCACTCATGGCGCCATAGAGATTTTCCCTCAGCTTACAAAGAATGGTTGGACGGCAAGAATATTCAGAACATGTTGACCATTTATGTCATGTCCTGTTTGCCGACAATTTGTTGTTGTCAGTACTTGTACAGTTATAGATGAGAGATAGATGATAGTCTTTTATTTTTTTTTTGCCTGGAATCTGAAAAAGTTGCCTTTCCTTTTCGGTACCAGGGTTGGTTGTGCCAAACTAGGGACACCTCTTCATTATCCTTTGACAAAAATACTGGATATGGTGTCTCGGATTTTCTACTACTAAAGGAGAACAAGATATGAAAGTAGATTTCATGTCACTTTCACAACCTGGAACAGCAGTATTGGCAGTTTCATTTAGTGGATAGGCCGAACAACATCTTCCCACCAAAAGTTTGCCCTAACGACAGTTTATTTATGGTTGAGGCATAATGCAAATTGTCAAAGTTCATCAATATTGTTAAAGTACAAGAACAAGGGTTAGCTCTTTCAAAGTCAAAAATAGGTCTTTTCAAACAATAATAAGGTATCTTAAACATACGATACACAATTGAACAATTATCTCCATATCAATGTTTTAAAAACCAACCCAAGGTCAAACTCGACAAAGAAGCCCCGGTTGACAAGTTTAATCGTTGGGTCAAACCAGTGACGTGTCACATAAAAAGAAATTCAAAATTTTTGTATCTGTGAAAGTTAGCATGGTGAGTTGGTGACTGTTTCCGACACACATTAACACGTGCTGACGTTGGCCTTCTTTCCCCCTTTTTTGGTTGTTTTCTCAACCAAAATCAAACATGCCACCACCATTGGAACCCCCACCCTCTTCTTTTCAAAACCGTACCCTTTATTCCCTCTCATTACTCACCGATCGTCGGCCATGGAAATCGTGTCGATTGACTGTCCTTTGTCGGATTCCGGCCATTTTGAGCGACGACAACTCCAACCCGTACCACCCTTAGACTCACTAGCTACTCCCCTACAAAACCCCCAAAGTTTCCAAGCCATTCCACCCACCAATTGCAGGCAATCAAAAGCTAGGATTTCGCCGTTTCTTGGTCAAATTCCGACGACTAAAACTTGATCAAACACCATCTCCCGACTCACGGTGATCCACCTTTCAAAACCCCTTAACCCCGATTCATGTTTGCCTTTTGAATGTCGACCGAAAGTTGCCCTTTGTTTGCATTTTGATTCAACCATTTTTTTCCAAAAACTGATTGAACCGACGAGTTGCTATAGTACCCCCAGTCCAACCCCAGGTGAATCTGGGTGAAATAGCCCCCTTGGTTTTTAGGCTCTCTCGGCCCGGCTCATCGGCCGAATCCCAATCGAACCGGTCCAACCGACGAGGCCGGGTTGGGTTTTAAAACAATATTCAATATAAAGATCAATAGAATTTATTCAATAATGTTGTCTAAAATTCTCAAATTTTAAGTAAATATTTGGTAACGTAATACTAGTCTTTCTAGACTTGTATAATTTTTTGTATAGAATCGTAACATAAGATGCTGAAACAATTTACAAATCAGGATTACAAAAAGATTTGAAATGCGAAGATTGGTGTACAAGTGAATTGTAATACTCTTGTTGACATACCTAAAAGAGAAGGGCGGGGAACATAATATGTGATGATCAAACAAGTGACCTGCATGCTGTATCTGTAACCTAACCTCAGCTATTCTGTTACCTGAGCTGGTGACCATGTCGAGTTTACTTAATCCCATATCCATTCTTTCCCGGTCCTCACAAAATGAATACAATAATGTTTTCAAACTGGCAATCATAGATTTCTATCTTTAAGTTTAAGGTTTACTTTAATCCCACATCGATTCTTTTCTGGTCCTCACAAAATGAATACAGTAATGTTTTCAAGCTGGCAATCATAGTTTTCTATCTTTAAGGTTTGCTTATATACATTAATTAACCTCTAACCCTTAATTACATCATTTCCACTCATGACTCCTGAATTAATTAATTAATTAATTGTTGAGGATTTACTTGTTTAAAGCATCAAAATAACAAATCCTAAGGAGGGCCGGCAGTTAGTCAAAAGATGACCTGGTAATTTCACAAGATTTGAAGCCAACCTGAAGCAGAAGGATCTTAACCAACCCATGACAATTCATCAACTCAATGGCTAATCACACAGAAAATTCAATAAAAAAACTTTACGATAAAACTTTTTGGAAGTCTGTTGATGAACTGTGGATTCTAATCAATGAACCATACAACTGGGTTTAAGAATTTGTTTGGAAGTGAGAAATTATGTCAGTAGTTTACACAGGAGATATCTGCAATTCAGATAATCCGTTATGTGTCACTCATAGCCACCCAATTCAACATAAAAAATTGAGTCCTGCAAGGATAGCCGCAAATAACTTCTATTATGCCTAAAGAATCAGGCTGATGTAGGCGCACACAAGCACAGGCTAATCAGAGTTCATAAATGCTTTATGCTGTCCAGAGTAAGATTGTCGTTAGTGTGGCAGGTAAAAGCCTGGCTTATAAGTGGCTAGAAATTATCCATCTGTCCAAGCTTTACGTAATTTAAGGATATCTCCTGTGCAAACAACCAATGGGAAGCAAGTTAGGAATTGTACCACACCGTCCGACTGCAGAATCGTGATTACTACCTTGAATTCCTCGAATATAAATAGAGGGTTTCTCTCTCATTTACAGGATTCGCTCATTTTTAGTTTTCGAAAGAAAACTCTCTCTCTCTTATTTCAATTCTCTCTAGACTGTAACTCAACTCGTTTTACGCAACTTGATTGTAACCTTCTATTAATACATACATAGTGGACATATGATTCACTTTTGGGCATTCAAACCACTTTAAAAATCATCTGTTCTCTCATTGTACTTCCATATCATGGGTAATTTCTAAATTCACTTAATACTTTACATGCGAGTTATTGGTATGAAAATCAAGTACCAACAATTTCTACGTTACGAACGCTTTTCTGGGATTGATTAGAGCCCTTCATCTCCGTGGAGATTTGACTAACTGCCGAATCGGTAACTTGTTCAATCAAATTAAGTTGACATATATAATAAACATTTATTTAAAGACAACCGCAACTTGGACGGTCCACAATGTATTGATGCTGACTCTCAATCTCATATATTGCTCCCTTGTTGGATTTCACTAAGTCTCTGTCAGGATATCTTTTGGTATCTTTTTTCTGCTTTACAACTTTATTTGCTTGTAAATTTAATTGATAACTCTGATGCTAAGTTCCTTGGTCTTACCCAATTATGTTTTCAAATTGATTATAAACCTATCTTGTTACTCAAATGTGAATATTCTTTAGATATGAACGGGTATGAACAGGTGAATAAGTAATATTATACAATAATCACCTTTGGGTGATTGGATAAGACAATAGAGATTCTTGAGTATATTATTCAAGAGATCTTAAGTTCGATTCCCCTCAATTTTTAAGAGAGATGGTCACTAAAGAGTTTACTCGATCGTTAACTTCAAGATCCCGAAAGATTAGTTAAGGTGTGCATAAATTAGCTTGAACACCTCGATCAGTAAAAAAAAAAAAAAAACGATACATTTTAAGTGCTATTTCAAATTTTTAATCTTTAGTGTTCTATTATGTCTTATCGTATCATTTATAAAATTCTCATCTTGAACATATCAGTGTTATATAAAATAATACATAGAATAAGAAATTAAAGAAATTATTTGGAATGTATACCATATTATTTGATGTAACATTATTAGTGAGCTATTTGTCCAAAATTTTCCAATATATGTTTCCTTTTGTTGTTACAAATTCACTGCACATTGCATTGACCATTCAAATTGACCTATCCATATGTTTTGTAAATTGAAATTGAAATATATTAATCGCATACATTAATATAATCATCCGTCGGGAGACAAATGGAACAACTGCCGGCCTATATCTGGTACTATAATTACTTTCAAGAATATCATGCTCTTATATTTGTTTATAACAGAGACACAAATTACCATTAAATAATTTATCAAATGAGTTGCATCTGCACAACAAAAGGAGGTTCAAATTGTTGGAAATAAATTCTTTCTTTGAACCTCTTTCAAGACTAGCTAAGTACCAAAGAAGTGGTCACTGAATTCCAATTTCAATTAATTGTCGCATCTCTGATCAAAACAAGAATTGCTGGTCTTGGATGCTCCAAAACCATACTTGATCTTAATTTGGTATACACAGTCTTACAACAAGACTAGATTGAAGGCGATGAATCAGTGCTTTTTCCCTAATTTTATTTGGAATTTGAAGTATTTTAGCTTTACCTATAAAAATATTCATGTGTTCTCTCTCTATAAAACTAATTAATTAGGGATATATTATTCTATCCTGTAACTCAGCTAATTAATTACATTTGATCAAAGCAACACTTGATTTTAATATACTTCAACTGCAATTTAATATTCAACTAAAATTTGCCTGGGCTGACAACTGGCCTAATCAAATATTTAATCCCCTTAACTTCACTATTTCTCTTTTAATAGTCAGAAAGGACAGCTTTACAACTCTTTTCCTATATATATAA